AGGAAGGAAGGAAGGAAGGAAGGAAGGAAGGAAGGAAGGAAGGAAGGGAGGGAAGGAGGGAGGGAAGGAGGGGAGGAAAGGAGTAAGTGAGTGAAGGAAGGAGGGAGGGAGGGAGAGAAGGGAAAGAAGGAAGGAAGGGAGGGAGGGAGGGGAGGAGGGAGTGAAGGAAGGGGAGGGAGAGAAGGGAAAGAAAGGGAGGAAAGGAATGAGTGAAGGAAGGAAGGAGGGAGGGAGAGAAGGGAAGGAAGGAAGGAAGGAAGGAAGGGAGGGAGGGGAGGAGTGAGTGAAGGAAGGGGGGAGGGAGAGAAGGGAAGGAAAGGGAGGAAAGGAATGAGTGAGTGAAGGAAGAAAGGAGGGAGGGAAGGACATTTCTCTCTCTTTCCCTCAATAATTATGCAATGCCATCCGATCTATGATATTCTCAAAGGCTTAGAACAGCACCAAAATACAAATAAAATATCCAAAACGAAGAGAGCCCATGATTATTTTGATTTCCTTAAATGAAACCATCACAAACAAACATAACAGGAATAAATATAGGCAAAGGCAGAACCCCCCCCCCCCCCCCCCCCCCGTGCCGAGTTCTCGGTGCTCCTGGTCAGCTTTCCCCATGGGGTGGGGGCTTGGGGGTCGGTGGGAACACAAAGAAAGGATAGAGGAATAAAAAACAACACAACCTGTGCGTACCTTGTTTAAAGCGTGGACAGGGAGGTTCGGCGCATTGATATCCTTCAGGTCCCTCTCGGCATCGTATTTCAGGTCATTTGAGACGCTGAACCTGACAAGAGGGGAGGGGGTGAGACGGATGAGCGGAAGAGCCAAAAGGAACGGGGGGGGGGGGAGAGGTTTTATAAAGGAAGCCGCTTTACCAGCCTATCAAACACCGTATTTTCATTTACAGCCAGTCCTCGACTTACAGCTGAGTCCCAACATTTCTGTTGCTAAACACGACAGTGGTTAAATGGAATTTCGCCCCGTTTTACGGCCTTTTTTTTTTGTTTTGTTTTGCCAGAGTTGTGACACGAATCGTTGTGGCTGTTCAGTCAATCACACGGTTCTTACAGCGAATCCGGCTTCCCTGTTGGCTTTCCTGGTCAGAAGGCCGCGAAGGAGGATCGCATGACCCCCCTGGGACACTACGACCGTCATAAATAGGAACGATCTGAGTTTTGATCACGTGACCGTCGGGGGAATGCTGCAAAGGTTGTTAGGAGTAGGAAACGGGCGTAAGTCACTTTTTTTCAGTGCCGTTGTTAACCGTCACTAAAGGGACTGTCGTAAGTCGAGGACGACCTGCATTTATTTCATGACACAAGAGAACCTCCCCCTCCTTCTCACTCACGTAGTTGCCTGTTTGTGGCTGGGGACTCCTTTTTAAAAAAAACATCCCTTCACAGCAGTGGGACATAAAAGGAGTCGGGGGGGGGGGGGGGAATGTGGCCCTGGCTCTGGGTGGCCCCCAACCCTCATCTGAAGGCTTCGTGCCTCTTTATCTCTTTGGTTTCCCAGCAGACTCCAAGAGGAAATCTCGCCAGTTGGTCCCAAGGATTTGAGGTCACGGTTTCGGAGGGGCTGCGAGAGTCAGAAGAAGTGGCCGGAATGCAAAGCCGGTGGCAAATGAGTTTTTGTTATGGTTGTGGCTGACTAAGTAAGTTCGTTTTGTTTCTGGTAGGCGATCTAGAGCTACACTGTTCAAAATCTGGAAGGTCATCAAAGTGAGGGCCAATTTGACCCATAGGAGGAATGACATTCCAAAGATGTCAGATATATTATCATACTTTATATGTTATCATATTCTATCTTCCCTTCCTTTCTTCCTTCTTGCCTTCTCCTTCCTTCCTTCCTTCCTTCCTTCCTTCCTTCCTTCCTTCCCTCCTTCCTTCCTCCTTCCCTCCCTGCCTTCTCCTTCCCTCCTTCCTTCCTTTCTCCCCTTCTTTCTTTTTTCTATCTTTCTTTCTTTCTCGCTCACTGCCTACTCCTTCCTTCTTTCCTTTCTTCCTTTCTCCATCCCTCCCTTTTCCTTCCTTCCTCCATTTTCCTTTTTTCCCTTTCTTTCTCTTTCTTTCTTTCTTCCTTTCCCTTCCTTCCTTCCTTCCTCTTTCTTTCTTTCTTTCTTTCTTTCTTTCTTTCTTTCTTTCTTTCT